GCTGGCCAGCAGGAATGGATAATACCGATTACTCTGTTCCAAACTGCTTTGACTACTCTTCTTAAATCTGCCGATCCTGCAGAAATCTTGTCGCCTTCCACGTGTGACGCTAGGGCACAGGAAGCACATCGAAACTACCTACCGACCGCTTGTCTGCCCATTTTTCTCTGGCGGATTCGGCCCGGCGGACAAGACGCGAGCGTCGGCCTGCCGGTGGGCGGATGGGCGAGCGGACGGGCGGGCGGCTCCTCTCCGCCCGGAAGTCCTCTGGGCGGGCATTACCGGTCTGCAACGCGCACCCTTCCGGCCGGCCGCCAGCGGCCATCTGCAGGCCGGAAATTGCATCGATCCGTCAGCGCGCCGGAGGATGCGCGCCGCCATTGTGCCGCGCCACAATTAGCCGCGCCGCGTCGCGCTCGCCTCACCTGTGCATATTGCACGGCGCAGCTGCCGCGCGTCGCGGGATGTGCGCCGTAATTGCCGTGGAGAATCGATTCGCGCCGCGGACACCCAATCGAGGGAGCAATGCGGGTGGGGTGGGCTGGAGTGAACCGGGGTCGGGCTGGCACACAGGTATGTGGGTGACGGAGGGCCGGATGGCACACGGCGGCGACCAAGCATGCATGCATCGGATTACGAATGTGCCGGGATGTCAGCATGCAAGCAGCGGGCGGTATGTGAGCGTAAATTTGATGGCGCACTGAAATACATCTGGCGGAATTCAGACTGCATCGGACAGTATCCAGGTGTACCCACAGCCAGCGGTATCCAGCCGCACACCCAACGGTGCAGCGACACATCTACAGCCAAGGCCATGGCAGCAGGCGCCCGACTGCACGTCTCCGGCTGGGAGCCCCCTGGAGGTCCGGTCTCCGCCACCCTCTCTTCCCAGCCAGATGGCCACCGGAGCAGCGGCCCGACAGCTGTCGTCTTATCTGGCCGACACGCTGCGGCCGCCGGACGGAGGTGGCTCGGCCGGGACCCGAGCTCGCTCCGGGGCCCGGCTCCCTGCCCGGCCTCGCGCCCACCAACCGCTGGAAGGAGGTGGCTCGGCCGGGACCCGAGGTCGCTCCAGGGTCCAGCTCCCTGCTGGCCTCGCTCCTTCGCCCTGTGCCACGAAAGCCCGCTCGTCTCTAGACCGCGCCTCACAGGCGTGCCTCGTCCGCGCTTCGCCGCAGCCACGCTTTTCGAGGACGCTGAGCCTTGCTCACCTTTAAGGGCCCGATGAATCAATGTCGCTAATGACATTTCGCTCCGGCGAAACAGGTCATTCAGCTGCCCCATTGATAACCGTCATCAGAGCAGGGCCGCGCGCGACGAGGGAGCGCTATTCACCGATGACTGATATGCGCTGTCACCCTTTGAACCGTACCCACCGCGGGCACACAGCGGACAATGTCCGTGCCCGGACAGCGGACGAGTCGCCACCCGGACAGCAGGTGCGTCCTCAGCCGGACAGCGGGCACTGTCCGGCGGACGGTGGTATCCTTTCGACACCGGAGAGTTTTCTAACCCGAACAGTAAATGCTGCCCGCACCTAAGCCAAAAGTCAACCTCGCAACACACCACCTGTGTCTTTCGGGTGTGTCGCGCTCCTTCTGGCCACGAACATTTCATGAGCACGGCGGTGCTGGTGGATGCTCAGCACTGACACAAAGACCGCACACAGCCCCACAGGCAACCCACCGCTGCCTATCACACACAGCCCCACAGACAACGCACCGCGGCCTGCCGCACACAGCCACACAGCCATCGTACCGCGGCCTGTCGTACACAGCCACACAGCCATCGTACCGCGGCCTGCCGCACACAGCCACACAGGGCCAGCCCCACAGACAACGCACCGCAGCCTGCCGCACACAGCCCCGCAGGCAACGCGCCGCGACATGCCAATGCAAGCTACCAGACCACGGCGTCCCCGGCGCGTGTAGACCGTCGCGCCGCAGTGCGCCGCGACTGCCGCTGTCAGCTGACGGCGCGGCGCGGCCCGCCGCTTCCGAGAACGCTGACATGCCTGGGAGAGCGCCGGGTTCGGTTCCCTCCGCGTGCGGCCGGAGCCGGCGGTAATGGCGCAAGCCCCACGCCGGCTGAGAAAAACCAAACGGATGCGGCAAAAGCGGCCATTTCTCCTGGGCCGGCCCGAATGTCTAATTGCGGTAATTTCTATTAGCGGCGCGCGGCACTGCCACCGCACGATGCTGGCGCCCGTTAATTAACGTCGCGCCAGGACAAAAATCCGCTCGCTCACTGGCGGCCAGCGCGGCTCGCCACCGGCAGCTCGCTCTCCCAGCGTCGGGCGCCGTCGGCCCCCCTGCCAGCGGGCGCTGATGCGATCTGGTGAGCGGCGGACACCGGTCCCGTCCCGTCAGGTGCCGGGCGCGCCGCTCGTCGAGCGGCCGCCGGCTCGGCGCCGTGTCACAACACGAGGCGAGCTGAGGCGCCTCGCCGCTTAATGAGCGGCGGCGGCGGCGCCGCTGCGTATCGCCGCCCAAACGGAAGTCCGATACACGCCGATTGCCAGGTATTCCATTCATAAGCCGGGCGCCATTAATCATCCGTATCAGATGCGAGGGGCCATTAGCGCCGGGGCAATAATAATATTTCGATAGAGGTCTAATACAGTGGTCGAGTGTCCGGCGCGGCGGGCGCCGCCGGCACTGAGGCGTCGCTGGCCGATCCGTCATCCTCTGTCGGCGATTGGGATCGTCCCGGGCCGCCGCCGGCGTCCGGTCGCCTCCCACCGGCGCTATCGCCGCCTCCCGCCGCCTCCCGCCGCCTCCCTCCGCTGCCTTCCACTGCTCCCGGCCGGCGCGTCCGTTCCCTCTGTCCCATCCCTCTCGCGTCGCCGGCTTCCACCACCCCTCCCCGCTCTCGTCGCTCCCATTCTTGTCGTCGCCACCCCCCCAGCTGGGTCACTGTCCGTCGTAACGTTCCCGCTCCTCTCTCTCTCCGCCTCCCTCCTCCCGCCGACTTCTTCCTCTCACTGGCTCTCTCGGCTCGCTGCCTCTCTCCTCCTGTTGTCCGCTTCCCCTTGCCAACTACCTCTTCGCGGTTGGCTCAACCCACCGGTTCCGGAAAACCGGAGGGCCTTTAAAAGTGCTTTTAGAGATACATCCGCTCCCGAGTGTTCCTTTTAGTGTGTGCCCTTGTGCCACTTGCCACAATGCTTACTCCGAGTTGCCTTAGGAGCTCAAGAGACGTTAGGGAGCCGCATGGGGAGGCGGCGTTGGTGAAGGCTGCGCAGCCAATCGTCACGACATGTCAACAGTTGCATCTAAACGGTGTCCACAGTCAGCAACGGCTGTATGAAAGTATCATGGATACTCAGGACCGTGAGTCCCTTTCATGCAACTGTCACGAGTATTTTCGACATCCAAAAACTGTCGCAGGCCGCCAGCGGTCACCAGAATTTATTTACTAATCTCCACCGACTCTCACCTCCAAAGCAGTCTCAATTCACCACGAGGAGCTACTCTGCCTCGCGACGTTCGTCAGCCACCAGCGGCTGGGGTCACCGGTCTGTGCCCGGGGCAAGATTACCCTGGATGGGGGTGGAGGGGGGGGGGGGGGGTGAGCGGAGGGGAGGGGCAGAAAACGGGTGGCGGATCGAGGACCTGGCAGCCGTACGACCGCGGCGACGGCGGAGCGCTCCATGTCCGGATGACCGGCGCCCGGGCCGCCCCCGAGCCCGAGCAGGCGCCGAGAAAGTCCGGCGACAGAATCTGGCACGGAACTGGCGGCGGCAGACGCCGGAGAATGGGGCGTGTTGAATGGCTGCAGATGTGGACGCCGCCGGCCACTGTCTCATGCCGCTCACGACACGTTCGCCGCCGTCTTCCGTGAGGCGGCCAGTATTTGCATCCAATCGCACTTTGTCGTGAAGCGGTGGAGAGGCTGCCGCTCCCCTCCAGCAATAAACCTCCCTAGCCCGGCCGCGCGGACCAGCCTCGCCGGCTCAGACATCAAGCCGACAGCCGCCGCGACGCTGTCCAACCCGGCCTCAGTCGCGGGTCTGCCGGGGTCAGCGCCCGTGACCTCAGGCCGCCACCACTGTCACTCCATTGCCGATGTTGACCCGGCGCAGGACGGCGCAAAAAACCGTCACAAAACCCGCCACAATTACACCGGGAGGGCTCGGTGCCCCATAAAGGCACGGCTGCGTCTGCACCTCCGAATGGGGGTGCCGGGCGACGGCGACGCACAGGCTTTTTGTCCGGTGATGATGATTATCGAGCGCAGTAAAGGGCGGCGATTAGTCCTCTCCGTTGCCCGTCTCGCCGACGTACTCCTCCCCTCGCGGCGCACGCCTTCGTCTCGCCTCCCTCCCCTCCCCCCCACGCGGGCGGCTCGCGCGGCGGCGGCTGGTTCAGACGCCGGCGGCCTCTCAGATCGCGGTCAAATCCTCCTCCGACACTTGCCGGCATCAGACCTAATTCGCCCAGTTGCGGCGGAGGCCGGCCGCCGACGGCGCTCGCACCGAATTATGCACGGGCGCGCCGCGCGTCGCCGCCCGCGCGCGCGGCGGGCGGCGGACGTGGCGCGCGCGCGGCGCCGGCGGCGCGGGCCGCGCCCACCGCAGTCCCACGCCCCCGGCGGGGGCGAGGGGGGGGGGTCGGGGAGGCGTGTCGGCCCCGGCCGCACCGAAGACAAGACCGACGATGACCTCTCAGAGCCCAGAGTAGGCGACGGCAAATATATGGAGCACGGGTTTAGGTAACTGAATGCCTGCACACTGAACACTGAACATAAGAGCGCTATGGTGCGTATTTGTATCGCGATGGATAGGTTTGCATTGTCTGAAGTCAAAGTGGCGCAGCGATGTATTATCGCCGACAAAAGCAGGCCGAGCTTCTCCGCATCTCATTAGGGATTCAGCTACGTCACGCTGGTGGACACCGAGCAGGCCGAGCATGTTCTCATGTCAGGCAGGTCCTTTTCTCCAACTCTCTCTGTCACGTACCCCGCGAGCCCCCACCTCCCACCTCTTCCGCGGGACTAACCTTGAAAGTAGCTCTTGGTGCGCAGGTAGGCCACGGCCAGCCGTAGGATGGAGAGCCGGTCCAGCTTGGAGAGGATGTTCTGCTCATAGGGCAGCAGGCTGGCCAGCGTGTCCAGCTCGGCGTTCAGCCGCAGGCGGTGCCGCTTGCTCGGGTTGCTTTTCGCGTTCGAGTCGGCTGGCTGTGGCTTCAGGCTGCGGACGGAGAGCGGCGCGGTCAAAGCCGGGGCCGAGGCGCAGGGGAGACGGACAAGAGCATGTGTGGATGAGATGAGATGGCGAACAGAGACAACAACGTGTTTGAATGAAACATAGATAGCCACGGACACCATGCCAGAATGCTGATCGGTCGGCGCAGATGACACAGGCTCTGAAGATGAAGATGACCCGTCAGAAGGCAATGATTCGTACAATAAAACAAATGGCGGGACGGGGAACGAGTTCACGGTTAGTCAGCGTTTTCTCGGCGGTGATTAGGCGCCCCAGTCTTCCAGATTGTCGCCCATCTCATGCAGCAGCATAACTCAGCGGAATCAGCTTGTAATCCCACACTTACGGCCCCAATTATCGAGTTACATTTCACCACAATGTTCGCCTCCGTTTCACACACCGTAGACACCACAAACATCTCAATTGCAAAGTCGATGCTCGGTTCGTCTGAAGGCTCAAGCCCAGCGCCTCTAAGCCTGGGGCCGTTTCACCAGTGTACCAGTCGCGCCGTAATCGGCCGCCGCCTCCACTCCCCCCCCCCCCCCCCCCGCCGCTCCCTGGGGATGTCACAGTGTCATCACGGCTCCCCGCTTCCGGCGCGCGCGGCGGCCGCGCGGCGTCTATTGAAACAATTGACTGCCCGGCGCCGAGCCATTACCACCGGCCCCGCCGCCCCCTCCCCCTTGCGCCCCCATTAGCGGGGGACGCGCAGCCGACGGCATTGTTGAGCTTGTCGAAACACGGCCCGATTACGGAGATAAATGTCGACCGGGATCCGGCGGTCAGTTGGCCCCCCCCCCCCGCGGAGGGTCATCTGTTTGGAAGTGACCGCTTATCGTCCGGACCGGCGGACGATCAAACGGAGTGGGGGAGGGGCAGGGGGTCAGCCGCAGCGTGCAGTCTCGTAGAACAGTGCGGAGTGAGAGCAGACCCGGTCAGGGAAGGTGTTCTGGGTGCTACTGACCCGTTTTGGCATCAACGGATGACATTTTAGCTGACGGGGAAGTCGCTAGGTTGGCTGCTTGCTCACATTCAAAGTTCGGTAGCTTCACTTTATAGAGCTTCATACTGAAGCAAGCGATTTCATCCATAGTATAACAGGTATCCCTCCGATGGGGGAGCATCATTCAGCATTAATTGCAGCAACACTATCCAACACTCGCAGCGCGAATGTATGACATCATGTGCACCAACCCATGCATAACACAGACGGCATTGCAGCTGTCGCCCAATACTTGCACCACCTGCCCGTGCATCAGCGACCTACGAGTAGCGCGAGTCACACCCGTGCTGCCAACATCACCGCCAACAATGCTACAATCCACACGGACAAAACGACCATTCACATGGGGACAAAGCGGGAATCCGAGCGGACAAAGCGGTAATCCGAGCGGACAAAGCGGCGGCGAGCAGCGGCGAGTCGCCGTCCACAGACAGACCCTCTCTGTGACGCTCGGGTCAGCTGGTGACGCACCCAGGGGGACAAACTACATAGAAATCTCCCAAGACATACGTGTAACAGACACTATCTCTCAAAAAGCTTGGGTTTTGCGCAGTCGTCTGGCCTGCCGCGGCATTCGAAACTTCTCGCTCCCAATATTCGACGCTGGCTCCGCGCCTGAGGTCAGCCACGCTGCGCCGACGACCCCGGCCGAGCGGCGAGCCTCGCGCGGCCCACGTGACGTCACCAGCACCGCCAGTGACGTCACAGGAGATGAGCGGCCAGGTGCCCGCCAGCACCATCGATCCCTCTCATCAATTATGGACGGCGTCCAGCGTACGCGGCGGCGGCTCGGAGGCCTTCTCTGGCCGGCGGCCGCTGTTAATTTAATCAGCGGCCTGCGTGGTGGCGGCGGTGGCCAGCCCCTGTTTTGATCGGTGATCGGGTCACGCTGCCCGTGCCCCCTCCGCCCCCCCACACCCTCACCTCACCTGCCCTGTTTATCCCCCGTCGACGGAGCCGTTTGGTGGTCAGGCCGGCATGGAGCCGCTCGCTCTCGTTCTCCGCCCTCCCCCCCCCCCCCCTCCCTCCCCCGGGCCGGCGCCGGCTCGCAGTGATCACGACGTTTGTGCCTCTTCTTCGTCGGCCCGCATCGATTGGCCAGGCCGCGGGAGCCGCCGACCCTGCCTCCTCCCCGTCGCTCCTCCACCATCCAGTCGTTAACTGCGCCAGGTAGCTCGTGCCTGTCAACTGCCAACGCAGGGGGATGGGAGGGGGGGGGGGGGTCCGAGGGGACGTGGCCGCCGCTCGGCGGGGAGCGGGCGGTAATTATTTTGCCGACGCAATAGCGCGTGCTGGGTCGTCGGGAAGCAGTCGTTGTCTGTGGGGTCAGCTGTGGAAGGCTGAC